GATATTTTTCGAAATTATTCAAATGAATTCACAAAGAATAAGAGAATAGTATTAGAATCTATCAGGGAAAATGTATTAGCTTTTGAATATGCTGATAGAGTTTTCAAAAATGATTTTGAATTTATTTGTGAGGCTATTAAATACAACGATAAGATATTATCCTATCTATTTAAATTGAATGATATGGAGGATATTAAAAATATAGTGGATTTAATTGATAAAAGAACCAACAATTTAACTCTAAACAAACGTATGAGTAATGAATTAATCAACTTTTTAAAAAAAATGAAACAATTAACTTCACTTAATATTAATTATAATAATATTGGTGATGAAGGTGTAAAATTAATAAGTGAAATGAAACAATTAACTTCACTTAATATTAATTATAATAATATTGGTGTTGAAGGTGCCAAATATATTAGTGAAATGAAACAATTAACTTCACTTGATATTAGTGATAATAATATTGGTGTTGAAGGTGTAAAATTAATAAGTGAAATGAAACAATTAACTTCACTTAATATACGTATAAATGAGATTGGTGTTGAAGGTGCCAAATATATTAGTGAAATGAAACAATTAACTTCACTTGATATTAATTGTAATAATATTGGTGTTGAAGGTGCCAAATATATTAGTGAAATGAAACAATTAACTTCACTTGATATTAGTGATAATAATATTGGTGTTGAAGGTGTGAGATTAATAAGTGACAACGATAACATATTATCTTCTACTTAAATTGAATGATATGGAGGATATTAAAAATCAAAGTGGATTTAATTGATAAAAGAACCAACAATTTACTTGATACAAACGTATGAGTAATGAATTGAATCAACTTTTTAAGTGAAATGAAACAATTAACTTCACTTAATATTAATTATAATAATATTGGTGATGAAGGTGTAAAATTAATAAGTGAAATGAAACAATTAACTTCACTTGATATTAATTATAATAATATTGGTGTTGAAGGTGCCAAATATATTAGTGAAATGAAACAATTAACTTCACTTGATATTAGTGATAATAATATTGGTGTTGAAGGTGTAAAATTAATAAGTGAAATGAAACAATTAACTTCACTTAATATACGTATAAATGAGATTGGTGTTGAAGGTGCCAAATATATTAGTGAAATGAAACAATTAACTTCACTTGATATTAATTGTAATAATATTGGTGTTGAAGGTGCCAAATATATTAGTGAAATGAAACAATTAACTTCACTTGATATTAGTTGGAATAATATCGGTGTTGAAGGCGCCAAATTAATAAGTGAAATGAAACAATTAACTTCACTTAATATACGTAGAAATGAGATTGGTGATGAAGGCGCCAAATATATAAGTGAAATGAAACAATTAACTTCACTTAATATTAGTGATAATAATATTGGTGTTGAAGGTGCCAAATTAATAAGTGAAATGAAACAATTAACTTCACTTAATATTAATTGGAATGAGATTGGTGATGAAGGCGCCAAATATATTAGTGAAATGAAACAATTAACTTCACTTAATATTAGTTGGAATAAGATTGGTGATGAAGGCGCCAAATATATTAGTGAAATGAAACAATTAACTTCACTTGATATTAATTGGAATAAGATTGGTGTTGAAGGTGCAAAATTAATAAGTGAAATGAAACAATTAACTTCACTTAATATTAATGATAATAATATTGGTGTTGAAGGCGCAAAATACCTTAGTGAAATGAAAAGGAAAACAATTTATTGAAATTCAATAATTTCATCCTTATTAGTTACATTAATTTCTCTCTTTAAAACCATTGAAGTATATTCATTAATAATTTCATTTAAATTCTTATTAACTTGAATGATTAATTCCTTTTTAACATTATCAAAATCAATAATTCTTTTTTGACCTCTTTTCCAAACAAGATAAAATCTATAAAAAGCGCTTGAATAAGCAATATTAAAAGCATCCATTACAGAATTTTCATACTTGTTAATAAATGATTTTAATTTACCTTCAATTAACATTTTTAAAATCATTTGAGTAATATTTAAAGAAAC